TCTCCAGACAGAGGAACAGTTATAAGTGGTGAGTGGTTGTGGCTCCAGGAAAGAGGAACAGTTATAGTGGTGAGTTGTATCTCAGACAGAGGAAACAGTTATAGTGGTGAGTTGATCTCCAGACAGAGGAACAGTTTTATAGTGGTGAGTTGTATCTACAGACAGAGGAACAGTTATAGTGGTGAGTTGTATCTCCAGACAGAGGAACAGTTGATAGTGGTGAGTGTATCTCCAGACAGAGGAACAGTTATAGTGGTGGGTTGTATCTCCAGACAGAGGAACAGTTATAGTGGTGAGTTGTATCTCCAGACAGAGGAACGTTATAGTGGTGAGTTGTATCTCCAGACAGAGGAACGTTATAGTGGTGAGTTGATCTCCAGACAGAGGAACAGTTAAGTGGTGAGTTGTATCTCCAGACAGAGGAACAGTTTAGTGGTGAGTTGTATCTCCAGACAGAGGAACAGTTTAGTGATGAGTTGTATTCCAGACAGAGGAACAGTTATAGTGGTGAGTTGTCCCAACAGAGGAACAGTTATAGTGGTGAGTTGTATCTCCAGACAGAGGAACAGTTATAGGGGTGAGTTGTATCTCCAGACAGGGCCCCGTATAGTGGTGAGTCGTATCTCCAGACAGAGGAACAGTTATAGTGGTGAGTCGTATTCCAGAAGAGGAACAGTTTTTAGTGGTGAGTTTTATCTCAGACAGAGGAACAGTTATAGTGGTGAGTTGTATCTCCAGACAGAGGACAGTTATAGTGGTGAGTTGTATCCCAGAAGAGGAACATTTAGTGGGAGTTGTGTCTCCAGACAGAGGAAAAATTATAGTGGTGAGTTGTGTCTCCAGACAGAGGAACAGTTATAGTGGTGAGTTGTATCTCCAGACAGAGGAACAGTTATAGTGGTGAGTTGTATCTCCAGACAGAGGAACAGTTATAGTGGTGAGTTGTATCTCCAGACAGAGGAACAGTTATAGTGGTGAGTTGTATCTCCAGACAGAGGAACAGTTATAGTGGTGAGTTGTGTCTCCAGACAGAGGAACAGTTATAGTGGTGAGTTGTGTCACCAGACAGAGGAACAGTTATAGTGGTGGTTATGGGACAAGGACATCCCAGCCGGCCAAACCCTCCCCTAACCCGGACGACGCTGGGGCAATTGTGCGCCGTCTCATGGGTCTCCCGGTCGTTGCCGGCAGCGAAACAGCCCGGGATCGAACCAAAAAATCAAAGTTGAAATAAATAAAGTGCATTTAAAGTTTGCTTTGATTTAGTCCTATTTTTTTACTTAAATTTTTGGTTTAGATGGAGACCTGAATCCAACATATACATTATTAATTTGTAGACAAACTGGAATTAAAGCCAGATTGTCAGAGGCACAAATGGAACTATTCAAGCAGAAGATGAATCTCCTTCAAATGTTGATATTTGGTTGCAGTGAAAACCATACGCAATTCAATGTTACTTTTGAAATACAATAAATATCCCTATTAACTTGTCGACTTCTACCAATACCACTAATATTGCTACTACTACTACTACTACCACCACTACCACTACTACTACTACCATTACTACTACCACTGCTACCACCACCACTAATACTACACCATACTACTACTACTACTACCACTACCACCACTACTACTACTGCTACTACTACGATTACTACGACTACTATTACCACTACGACTACCACTACCACTACTACTGCTACTACTACTACCACTACTACTACTACTACTACTACCACCACTACTACTACCACCAATACTACCACTAATACTACACCATACTACTATCAATCAATCAATCAATTTTATTTTATATAGCCCTTCTTACATCAGCTAATATCTCGAAGTGCTGTACAGAAACCCAGCCTAAAACCCCAAACAGCTAGTAATGCAGGTGTAGAAGCACGGTGGCTAGGAAAAACTCCCTAGAAAGGCAAAACCTAGGAAGAAACCTAGAGAGGAACCAGGCTATGAGGGGTGGCCAGTCCTCTTCTGGCTGTGCCGGGTGGAGATTATAACAGAACCATGCCAAGATGTTCAAAAATGTTCATAAGTGACAAGCATGGTCAAATAATAATCAGGAATAAATCTCAGTTGGCTTTTCATAGCCGATCATTAGAGTTTAAAACAGCAGGTCTGGGACAGGTAGGGGTTCCATAACCGCAGGCAGAACAGTTTAAACTGGAATAGCAGCAAGGCCAGGCGGACTGGGGATAGCAAGGAGTCACCACGGCCGGTAGTCCCGACGTATGGTCCTAGGGCTCAGGTCTCTCAGTTGGCTTTTCATAGCCGATCATTTAGAGTTGAAAACAGCAGGTCTGGGACAGGTAGGGGTTTCGTAGCCGCAGGCAGAACAGTTGAAACTGGAATAGCAGCAAGGCCAGGCGGACTGGGGGCAGCAGGGTGTCATCATGCCCGGTAGTCCTGACGTATGGTCCTAGGGCTCAGGTTCTCAGAGAGAAAGAGAGAACGAGAGAATTAGAGAGAGCATACTTAAATTCACACAGGACACTGGATAAGAAAGGAGAAGTACTCCAGGTATAACCAACTAACCCCAGCCCCCCGACACATAAAACTACTGCAGCATAAATACTGGAGGCTGAGACAGGAGCGGTCCGGAGACACTGTGGCCCCATCCGAAGAAACCCCCCGGACAGGGCCAAACAGGAAGGATATAACCCCACCCACTCCGCCAAAGCACAGCCCCCGCACCACTAGAGGGATATCCCCAACCACCAACTTACAATCCTGAGACAAGGCCGAGTATAGCCCACAGAGGTCTCCACCACAGCACAAACCAAGGGGGGGGGGGGGGCGCCAACCCAGACAGGAAGATCACGTCAGTAACTCAACCCACTCAAGTGACGCACCCCTCCCAGGGACGGCATGAAAGAGCACCAGCAGGCCAGTGACTCAGCCCCTGCAACAGGGTTAGAGGCAGAGAACCCCAGTGGAGAGGGGAACCGGCCTGGCAGAGACAGCAAGGGCTGTTCGTTGCTCCAGCCTTTCCGTTCACCTTCACACTCCTGGGCCAGACTACACTCAATCATATGACCTACTGAAGAGATAAGTCTTCAGTAAAGACTTAAAGGTTGAGACCGAGTCTGCGTCTCTCACATGGGTAGGCAGACTGTTCCATAAAAATGGAGATCTATAGGAGAAAGCCCTGCCTCCCGCTGTTTGCTTAGAAATTCTAGGGACAATTAGGAGGCCTGCGTCTTGTGACCGTAGCGTACGTATTGGTATGTACGGCAGGACCAACTCGGAAAGATAGGTAGGAGCAAGCCCATGTAACGCTTTATAGGTTAACAGTAAAACCTTGAAATCAGCCCTTGCCTTAACAGGAAGCCAGTGTAGGGAAGCTAGCACTGGAGTAATATGATCAAATTTCTTGGTTCTAGTCAGGATTCTAGCAGCCGTATTTAGCACTAACTGAAGTTTATTTAGTGCTTTATCCGGGTAGCCGGAAAATAGAGCATTGCAGTAGTCTAATCTAGAAGTAACAAATGCATGGATTAATTTTTCTGCATCATTTTTGGACAGAACATTTCTGATTTTTGCAATGTTACGTAGATGGAAAAAAGCTGTCCTTGAAACAGTCTTGATATGTTCGTCAAAAGAGAGATCAGGGTCAAGAGTAACGCCTAGGTCCTTCACAGTTTTATTTGAGACGACTTTACAACCATCAAGATGAATTGTCAGATTTAACAGAAGATCTCTTTGTTTCTTGGGACCTAGAAACAAGCATCTCTGTTTTGTCCGAGTTTAAAAGTAAAAAGTTTTCAGCCATCCACTTCCTTATGTCTGAAACACACTACTACTACCACCACCATTGCCACCATTATTACAAAACTACTACTACTACTACTACTAGTACCAATACCACCACCGCTTTTACTACTACCACTACTACTAAAGGCTACTATCACACTAGTATTTATAATACAGTCACTACTATACTAGCCTCTAACAATTTAAACATAAAAAAGTATTCCACTAACATAACAATACATCTGGACAGCTGAAGTTAGTCACACAAAATGACCCTTTCTTATTATTGTAGTTGATGTAGCTATATGTTGTAACTCATGCATTACAGACTTGTCATCGGAGGAACTCCTCGGACAACCAGCCAGGAACATCTTGCCAATCTCAGGATCCTGATATCAAGGTTAGATATGCATTAATCTTCCTATGTTTGCTTCAGTTGATACTGTTTAGCTTTTCCAATGTATTTGTCTGTTCATTAATAACAGTCAATTATGAGTCTTCTTTTTAATTTAGGCTTCTGTGAGGCGGACTCACGCTCTCGTGATGAGTTAGCTCTGCCTGCGACTTAAAATCAGTGTCTACCCTCGGGCCAAGAGGAAGTTCCCCCTTGGCCCAACGGTTGACGTTGGTTTCCTGAGAGGGAGACTGTGGTTGTAATCCCCTGAGCCTTTACACTTCCATCTCTTCTGTCACAGAAAGAAGCACATGATGGAAGCCATTCCTTCCGATACCGCTTCGGATACAAACAATTCAGGGTTACATGCCATAAACATGGAACGGTCCTGGATGCACTGCAAACAATCAAGGCGTTCAAGAACATGACAAAGGAAAAACAAGGGATGGAAGTTGTCATCCAAAGAGAAAAAGAGCCAAGGGCAGCTGTCAGTACACATTTCCCCTGCCATTTAATTGATAACAATGAGCTAGTGACAGTCACCTTCATCAAAGATCCAGGTAGTGGCAGTTCTTCATATATCCAGGGCCATTCCAAACAGAGGAACAAAAATAAAATGCAACCTGGCAAGTTGATGACTTTCAATGTTAAAACTAGGGGTGGAAAAACGATTATAAGGAAAGTAATAAGAAACCCAGAGCTAAGGAAGAAAGTGACATATGTTTGTGTGTACGCATACAAAGGGGAAAAGGTGAAGCAAGCCTTGAGGAGAGATGGGCGATTTGCTGAAACCGTCTTCAGAAAACGCTGTCTTCTGTCTGAGTCAGAGATGGATGTCATCACAGAGATGTCCCAGCCAGTTGATGGTCTTGATGGGAAAATGTTGGTTGTGACTGCAGATCTTGTCGGTGGTGTATCTGAGTCACAAGATAGTCTTGAGGATTTTGGCAACACGCCAACTGAAGAGCTGTCCGAACCCCATGGAGTAACATCAGAAGCAGGGCTCTCTCCTCAGAATCCTACTACACCAGACACAGCTAAAACAAAGTTGCAGTCAACGGAGGCGGGAAAAGATGGTAGATCTCTGATGGAGAAGCAAAAATGGCGTGAGGTTCCAAACTCTCAAGAGATCCTAAACACCCTGCGTTCCCAGTATGCAGGTTTGGTCAATCACATGAAAGACAGAGAGAAGTTGAAAAAGCCTTCAGACGTGCAACAATTCTTAAGAGTAGAGTTTGGAAAGAAAACACAGAGCTTCCAAGAGATTAAAAAACTGAAGAGGCTGATGGAGCTGAGTGCTTCTGTTTGTCTGGTGATCATTAAAGGGGAAGCAACAGGAACTGGCTTCCTTCTGTTTGACAAGTTCATCCTTACAAACGCCCATGTTGTCCAGAAAATCTATGAGCAAATCACAAACAAGCTGCAACAATCAGTAACAGTCACGTTTGACTTTGAAGACCTGGATGAGAGAACACAAAATATACCAGTGAAAAGTGAGGTTGTAGCCTATGAAAAAGATGATTCAGGGTATATTGACTTCGCCTTGCTGGAGCTTAGCGCAGATCCTGACATCACCTTGCCTTCAGGCTTGCTTGACACCTTCAGCTTTCCATCTCCAGAAGGTGGAATCTGCATCATCGGCCACCCCGAGTGTGGGGTGAAAAAGAAAGACCCCTGCTTTATCATTCCATATGGAGATCGTGAACGAGCTGTAGAAAAACATGTCAAAGAAAATGAGGAATTCTTGCATGTCATAACTAACAGATATTTGGTGGAGAACGGGGACATCAAGACACGTCTACCGACGGACACAGAAAGGATTACCTATGACACTTGTTTCTTCCACGGTGCCTCTGGCTCTCCAGTCTTCAATGTGTACTGCCAGCTGATAGCTATGCATACAGCAGGCTACTCCTACGAGGGTAAAAGCAAGAAAACCCAGAGTATCATAGAGTATGCCATTCCCCTGTCACGCACACTTCAGAGGATCATCATCCAAGCGGTGCGTAGGAAAAGAGTTGATGTGCTACAGGGATTCCTGAACCAGGGGAGTTGGCAATTAGACGTAGTGCTGGAAAGAGTCAAGACAGAGTCTGTTAATGACAGCCTGTTCACGGCATTTCAGGAGAAGCTGCAGTTCAACAGTAACACTTCAGCTACAGATCAGGGAGAGCAGAGAACCTTCTACCAGTTTCTCTTTGATAGAGTGGAAGCCACAGGAGTGGAAGCCACAGGAGTGGAAGCCACAGGAGTGGAAGCCACAGGAGTGGAAGCCATGGAGGTGGAAGATAATGAGTAATGACAGTAGTGACATTTATACTATTCTTACAATCCATGCTTTTAATCTAAACTATATTATTTTTATGTTTTCATATGTTAATTAGTATGCATTTCTATCAGTATTACATTCCTCATTACAGACCTGTTCTTAGTCAGATCATGATTACTTTTGATGCATCATTCATGTAACCTACTATTATTGAATCAAATAAACCTGAGATCTCCATGGAAATTATAGTTTCACCTACACTAGTCTTACATGATTGGATTGTTCTCTGCCAGGAAGACTTGTACTGTAACCATTGTTCTCTGCCAGGAAGACTTGTACTGTAACCATTGTTCTCTGCTAGGAAGACTTGTACTGTAACCATTGTTCTCTGCCAGGAAGACTTGTACTGTAACCATTGTTCTCTGCCAGGAAGACTTGTACTGTAACCATTGTTCTCTGCCAGGAAGACTTGTACTGTAACCATTGTTTTCTGCCAGGAAGACTTGTACTGTAACCATTGTTCTCTGCCAGGAAGACTTGTACTGTAACCATTGTTCTCTGCCAGGAAGACTTGTACTGTAACCATTGTTTTCTGCCAGGAAGACTTGTACTGTAACCATTGTTTTCTGCCAGGAAGACTTGTACTGTAACCATTGTTTTCTGCCAGGAAGACTTGTACTGTAACCATTGTTTTCTGCCAGGAAGACTTGTACTGTAACCATTGTTCTCTGCCAGGAAGACTTGTACTGTAACCATTGTTTTCTGCCAGGAAGACTTGTACTGTAACCATTGTTCTTCTGCCAGGAAGACTTGTACTGTAACCATGTTTCTCTGCCAGGAAGACTTGTACTGTAACCCTTGTTCTCTGCCAGGAAGACTTGTACTGTAACCATTGTTCTCTGCCAGGAAAGACTTGTACTGTAACCATTGTTTCTCTGCCAGGAAGACTTGTACTGTAACTTTCTCTGCCGGGAAACTTGTATGTAACCATTGTTCTCTGCCAGGAAGACTTGTACTGTAACCATTGTTCTCTGCCAGGAAGACTTGTACTGTAACCATTGTTCTCTACTAGGAATACTTGTACTGTAACCATTGTTCTCTGCCAGGAAGACTTGTACTGTAACCATTGTTCTCTGCTAGGAAGACTTGTACTGTAACCATTGTTTTCTGCCAGGAAGACTTGTACTGTAACCATTGTTCTCTGCCAGGAAGACTTGTACTGTAACCATTGTTCTCTGCCAGGAAGACTTGTACTGTAACCATTGTTTTCTGCCAGGAAGACTTGTACTGTAACCATTGTTTTCTGCCAGGAAGACTTGTACTGTAACCATTGTTTTCTGCCAGGAAGACTTGTACTGTAACCATTGTTCTCTGCCAGGAAGATGTGTACTGTAACCATTGTTTTCTGCCAGGAAGACTTGTACTGTAACCATTGTTTTCTGCCAGGAAGACTTGTACTGTAACCATTGTTCTCTGCCAGGAAGACTTGTACTGTAACCATTGTTCTCTGACAGGAAGACTTGTACTGTAACCATTGTTCTCTGCCCGGAAGACTTGTACTGTAACCATTGTTTTCTGACAGGAAGACTTGTACTGTAACCATTGTTCTCTGCCAGGAAGACTTGTACTGTAACCATTGTTCTCTGACAGGAAGACTTGTACTGTAACCATTGTTCTCTGCCAGGAAGACTTGTACTGTAACCATTGTTTTCTGCCAGGAAGACTTGTACTGTAACCATTGTTCTCTGCCAGGAAGACGTGTACTGTAACCATTGTTTTCTGCCAGGAAGACTTGTACTGTAACCATTGTTTTCTGCCAGGAAGACTTGTACTGTAACCATTGTTCTCTGCCAGGAAGACTTGTACTGTAACCATTGTTCTCTGACAGGAAGACTTGTACTGTAACCATTGTTCTCTGCCCGGAAGACTTGTACTGTAACCATTGTTTTCTGACAGGAAGACTTGTACTGTAACCATTGTTCTCTGCCAGGAAGACTTGTACTGTAACCATTGTTCTCTGACAGGAAGACTTGTACTGTAACCATTGTTCTCTGCCAGGAAGACTTGTACTGTAACCATTGTTCTCTGCCAGGAAGACTTGTACTGTAACCATTGTTCTCTGCCAGGAAGACTTGTACTGTAACCATTGTTTTCTGCCAGGAAGACTTGTACTGTAACCATTGGTTGTTTTAATCTTCAAAATAAAAGTACAGAAGAAGCTAAGATGGTATACTTGTAAACCTGTTTTATTTTCTTCAAGCAATTGGGAAATGCCCCCCCACTTGACATATGGCCCCCGTAACCATAACAAAGTAATAATATGTTAAAATCAATTAATAACAGTACCATACTGTCAATATAATGTTAAACGATCAGGTTCCTATCATAGCTCATACTTTGTTTTCTAACAAAATAAATAAATATGGATTGTCAAAATGCTTTAATAATGTTCTTAACAGCCCTCTGGTTTGTGAAAGACTAAGGACCAGTTTAGAATATTTAGGACAGAAAGGTGAGCTGGTAGCAGAGAGAGACAACACTTTAATATGTCCAAAATCCTGGTCCTGGATCAACTGTACTGTCATCTCTAATATAATAGTTTAGTGTGAATGATGCAGGATTTTCTATGAGGTAGTAATTGATCCTGGGAACGAGGGTAAGGATTAGATGGAGGAGGACATAACCTAATAACAACATGGGGTCTAAAACAAACTAAGGACACTACAATGATCTCCAGATCAGAATCAACCTTTAACATGAAAGATGATTCTAGATTATTGAATTGTTGTATGAGATTCTGACTAGGCCCCAAATGGCACCCTATTCCCTATATAGTGCACTACTAGCCCTATGGGCCCTGGTCAAAAGCAGTGCACTACATAGGGAATAGGGTGCCATTTGGGGTGCGTAGATCTCCACACTACAGGTCCCTGTTGTTGCTGCTGAGTAGTTTGGGGTAGGAGGTTCCGATGGAGCGCCCGTGGCGATACACCACCACCTCTAGCAGGTACTCATCCACCTTCACCACGGCCGTGGTCACCTGGACATAAACCACAAGGCTAACGTTAGCCAATACATTTAGATACTGGCTAGGATTGTCCTCATCAACACCAGCTTTGGGCTGCATTCCAATTCTCAACCCTTTTCCAGAAGTGTGCACACTTTGGGAGAAGGGTGAATGGGGATGCAGTCTCAGTGGCTGGTAAGAACAGTAGTTTATTCATCCTGGAGGTGTGATGTTATGGCTGGTAAGAACAGTAGTTTATTCATCCTGGAGGTGTGATGTTATGGCTGGTAAGAACAGTAGTTTATTCATCCTGGAGGTGTGATGTTATGGCTGGTAAGAACAGTAGTTTATTCATCCTGGAGGTGTGATGTTATGGCTGGTAAGAACAGTAGTTTATTCATCCTGGAGGTGTGATGTTAGCTATGATGTCTTCCGGTTGATAAGACGTGTAATCAGGGTGATTCAGGGAACCATGAGTAACCTAGCCTGAGACCTGAGAACTAGCATTAGCTTCAGATTATTTTGTTTACAAATAATGTATTGAGTCATTTTGGAGTCACTTTTATTTTTAAGTAAGAAAATGATATGTTTAAGTGACTCCAAAATGACAATACATTATTTACCATTCATTTCTATTGGGCACAACATCATCTCAAACACAACCAAAACAAACGGTAAATCCATCCAACAGGTTTGTAGTCAATATGGGACCAAATACTAAACTTTTAACTAAATGTAATCCACTATAAGTGACTTTGTCCAAATACTTATGACATCTTCAAATAGGGGACCTAGATACATAAAGTGCATTCATTTCTACATGGTAAAACCGATATGTATGAAAATACCCTCAAATAAATGGTAACATTATGTACTGTCGCCTCATATAAAACATTTGATCTCAAATCCAATATTCTGGAGTATAGCGCCAAATTAAACGTTTTAGCTTCGCTGTCCAAATAAATTAGCAAAATAATGGTGGGTCAAAATTATTCCCAAGATGTTTAAATAAAACAACTTGGCCATGAAGAAGTTTCAGTAGATTAGTAACTGATTCCTATAAAGCTACGTGGTGTATAATGTAGCTGGACATTGTAAAGTCTGATTCCTATAAAGCTACGTGGTGTATAATGTAGATGGACATTGTAAAGTCTGATTCCTATAAAGCTACGTGGTGTATAATGTAGCTGGACATTGTAAAGTCTGATTCCTATAAAGCTACGTGGTGTATAATGTATGGCCTAGCCAAAGCCTAGACCTCAATCCCTCTGTAGCTCAGCTGATAGAGCACGGCGCTTGTAACGCCAAGGTAGTGGGTTCAATCCCCGGAACCACCCATGCACAAAAAATGTATGCACACATGACTGTAAGTCGCTTTGGATAAAAGCGTCTGATAAATGGCTTATTATTATTATTAATCCATTTCAGAATCTGTGGTATGACTTAAAGATTGCTGTACACCAGCGGAACCCATCCAACTTGAAGGAGTTGGAGCAGTTTTGCCTTGAAGAATGGGCAAAAATCCCAATGGCTAGATGTGCCAAGCTTATAGAGACATACCCCAAGAGACTTGCAGCTGTAATTGCTGCAAAAGGTGGCTCTGCAAAGTATTGACTTTGGGGGGGTGAATAGTTATGCACGCTCAAGTTTTCTGTTTTTATGTCTTATTTCTTGTTTGTTTCACAATAAAAAATATTTTGCATCTTCAAAATGGTAGGCATGTTGTGTAAATCAAATGATACAAACCCCCAAAAAATCCATTTTAATTCCAGGTTGTAAGGCAACAAAATAGGAAAAATGCCAAGGGGGGTGAATACTTTCGCAAGCCACTGTAGCTGGACATTGTAAAGTCTGATTCCTATAAAGCTACATGGAATATAATGTAGCTGGACATTGTAAATTCTGATTCCTATAAAGCTACATGGAATATAATGTAGCTGGACATTGTAAAGTGTGATTCTTATAAAGCTATATGGAATATAATGTAGCTGGACATCGTAAAATGTGCTTCCTATAAAGCTAC